ACACCATCAAATTTGATTGGGTGAACGTTAAGATATCTTCAATCAAAATTTTTATAAAATTTTAAATATCTATCAAATACAAAAATTGTTTTAAAACTTTGATCAAAGATATCTCGATACTCACCTAACCAAATTCAATGAACCTTTTTTTATTTTGATTGTAGGAAATTAAAAATTCAAACAAAAAAAATTCATTGAATTTGGTTAGATGGGTGTCAAGATATCTTTGATCAAAATTTTAAAACAATTTTTGATACAGTTTCTATTCAAACTTTGATCAAAGATATATCTCAACACCTACCTAACCAAATTCGATCAATATTTTTTATTTTGATTGCAGAAAACTATAGAATTCAAACAAAAAAAAGTTCATCGAATTTGGTTAGGTGGGTGTCGAAATATTTTTGATCAAGTTTCAAAACAATTTGTTTTTATTTAGATATTTAAAATTTTACAAAAACTTTGATCGAAGATATCTCGACACTCACCTAACCAAATTCGATGAACTTTTTTTTATTTTGGTTGTAGATATCTATAGAATTCAAACAAAAAAAATTTCATTGAATTTGGTTAGGTGGGTGTTGAGATAACTTCGTCTAAAGTTGTAAAAAATTGTAAATAATTTAAAATGATCTACATTAACAGGGGGTGTAGCATTATCAATTCCCTAAATAAATAGTATATATGTTTGACATAAATTTTGGATCCGAGGTGAATTTAATGTACAACGGTAATATGAATTAATATAGGGAAAAACGGGTTAAGAAAACTCGCCAGAGGTGTGACTATGGTGATTGTTGGATGGTTTTTATAATCTATATAGTGTGATCCTTCCTCGCGCATAAGAGTCGTAATCAACTGCTTTCGATGTTATGCCCTTTATATAACTTCTTGAAAGTATGACTAAAAGAGGCCGTGACCATATTCCCTTGTCTTCTCCTAAGGTTTCGGTTAGAATTTTAACACACTGCCTCATGTATTTTTCATTGAGAGTGTTTAGCTACACGTCTATTTACTCGGCCGACAAGCGATCTTGTAGCATCTTAATCCTTTACTCACGGGACTTATGGCATACTTTCACCATTATCTTCGGAAATGACACTTTTAGTCCGTAACACTATAACCCCTGTTCTAACTCTAATCATTATATTATGAATGCACAAATAAGACATGTTTGAAAATAAAATTACTGTTACGTAGATATTTTATTAAATATGCATCGAAACCGTGATCAAAACGCATAGAAATTAAGCCCCCAGACAAGTTTCAACCAATCATACATTTATATAACTAAATTATTATAAGTCCATAAAATTTAAGGATATCACAATTATTGCATACGTATGTACAATTAACAACACAAATTTGTGTTGTTAATTAAAATGTAATACGTACGAGGATGACGGACGGTTTTTCCGCTTCGTTCTTAGCAATCAAATCTTACAGTATTTATCATAAATTATAATTTTTTGACGCAATTAGGCCGCTTGCATCATATTCCTTACATATCATTAGCATGTAAAATTGTCAGAGAAATAGGTTGTCAGGAAAGTGGTGTTGGCGAAAAGATTGTTGTAGAAAGAACATCTTGATACCAAATGCACATATATACAACACAGAAAAAATTTTGATGTGCCTAGATACTTCCTATATACTTTCGGTAAATCTATCGTTCCGAAAGTGCGAAACCAAAAATCCTGAAGGTCAAAACTCGGATAATAAAAAAAAAATCTATTTGTTTACATTTCAATTTTATTTAACTTTCGAAATACTGTACTTTCGGTTTCAGTAAGCCGAAGCTATCTACCTCCGATAGACAACATGAGTTACCAATCTGTATGCACTATGACTACTGATCGATTAGTGTTTTTTTTTTTGAGAATGTCTTAAATGATTACTTAATTCTGCATTGAATTGTTTTTTAACCAATTATGCTTAATAACTGTTAATGCATTACGGCTTATGAATTATATGTATACTTGTTGAATGCCTGCAAATGAGTATATATTGACTGTAGGTTCGTAAGTACGAAGCATGAGCCAGTCTAGAGTAGAAAATTCAAGTCCTTACATGTGAGTAAAAGCCTAATTAACAGGTATTAATCGAAATTTTGGAACAAAATCAATAAATATACGTCACTGTTGCTTTATTTAATGAATTCTAATCTGATGAATATATATATGCATATATCTGTATACGTATACGTATATAATATTTACACAATAACGTAGCTGTCAAACATTGGCATGCATATTCTCAAACAAGAAATTCTGCTTCATTAACAAAAATCATACATATATTTTCAAAAGAAAGGTTTGCCACGCTGAAACACGAATATTATTCGTTACGTGGGTTAATTACAATCGTTATGGGATTTTTTTTTGAACAATGTATCTAGAGATTTTCCATTTTGTGTGATGCGAATTAACTTCGGTTTTATAATCATCCCAAAGTTTATCCAAATCTTTCTCATTAAGTTTCATGTAATGCATTATTCCTTTTTGCATTCCGGAAAGCATGTGTAACATTATAGCCAGACCAAGTTCACCTTATTGGAAGAGTAAAAGATAATAAGATTCGGTATGATGACATCTATGACATAATTGAAAAAATTTTTAATGCAAATATACCTATTTGACCTCCCCACGATCCTATAGGCATGGTAAGTTCCGTTTTAGTGACCTTACCCATTTGTGGCTGGGATTCTATCATTTCACCGAATTTCGTAAAGAGGGTAAGACTTCGACCACTCTGGCTCAATATATTTTCAACTAAATAAACAAAATGGTTAATAATATTATAAACATCAACAATCACAATAAACAGGAAATAGAACTTACCTACAACACGCAATTGTTCTGTAACAGCACCGGGATTATCAGCTCTTATATCACCTTCAACACATTCTAGGTAACCACCAGGTTTGAGCACCCTTATATATTCTTTTTTTATGATTTTCATTGATTAATGTTAAGTAAGATTTATGTAATTAATAAGAATTTCTATAAAATTACCTTTAATTAAATGATTTTTCCACTGTGATTCGCTGAATGCGAAGAAATTTAGCCGAGAATAAACAAAATCAAACGTATTGTCTATAATAAGGATCGAAATTTACATATAACATTTAACCTAAAAAAATTTTGAGTAATTGAATAGAACGTATAAAGAAATTTGTTTTTTTATACCTGGAAAAGGAAATTTTTCTAAAGCATCTGTTTGAATTATTCTAATATTCCTTGGCTTTTGATCAGGGTACAGAGTATGAATCTTTTCTATTCCTATAAATGTTGAATTTGGATAATCGGATGCCATCTCAGATAGCCATGTTGCTTTTTTTTTCAAAAGCGCGTAAATATTAAAACTCTGAACGATAATAAATTTCGATAAATTTTGTTAAATTCCGATTAATATAATTTACCTGTGCCACAACTAATAATAATTATTACGCATTGGAGCATTCAAACCAAAAAATAAATCGTTAGGGATGATCTTTGTATGTATTTCACGAAAAGACTAACGTGACATTCAATTTCGTATAAACCCACCAGACGTCCAATACTACAGCACTACCTTCTAACAATTTTTCGTCTATTGGAGCTTTAAAGTTCCCATTACTAATACATCTCATAACGTTATGCAACACTTGCATTCTATCCAAGTATAGGTCATCGTGTTTATTTAGTTGAGGGCATTCAGAATTTTGTAATTTATCATTAGCAGCTTTGTTAATCTTGTATATTAATTTAGGATACTTTGAATTCTTGTGGCCCATAATTGATTAACAAAAAAGTTTAGAAAGAATGACTACAATTATGGGATTATAAGAAGCCTTTTTGTTACAGAAAAATAGTAAAATTATTATAATCTTTTTTATTTTATTTATTTTTTTTGAAAAAAAATAAATACTTTTAAGATCAGCTCCACGTTATATAAGTTATATAAATCATATAAATCGTAGTCAATAAAATTGGAATGTTATATTATATAATCTGTAATCAACTTTACTATTATAGTTAAGACAAAGAACCAAAAGAACGGCCGAATCTATGAAAATAGTTGGATAACTTGAATGCAACTGGTACATTCATGATTATTTTGTTAATCTATGCTATATACTGTATATTAATTACAAGAATAGTAAAACTGGTGAATAACACATATTAATAATACATGATTTCCCGGAAATTCAATCAAATAAGGACTTATATATTTAGTTTAAAAAGTTAATACATATGTCAATTTATGTTTAGAGTAACAAAATAAAGTTAAAATGTCCGGAAGTAACTCAAAAAAGTTTCTTTACAGGCAATATATGTAAGAAAGTTCTTATGATATCAATATTCCCTGTATAATCTGTAACCAAAGTTCATAAAGAAAATTCTTTTTTAGGACCGTTTAAGCAGGGTACAAATTGTTTAATAACCAATCAAATTATTTCATAACTAACTAAATTATTTAACGACCAACCAAAATTATTTAATAAAACTGAAAAAAAATATACTAACTAAAAAAAAAAATGTATAAATGTTAATTTCACTATCCATTTATATTATACTACTGTATATATATATATGTATATATATATAACATTGTATTGTCAACAGCCTAGCATCGCCCACAAAAAAAAATGTAGCTTATATCATAGTTAAAGCTCTGAAGCGCAACAATGATAAATCGTGCATGACAATAGTCATTTGTTATTACTAAAAAGCTTCGGTATTGGTTCTGAGTTTTAATTATGACGTAAGCTACATTTTTTTGTGGCCGATGCCAGGGCTGATTTAACCTCCCTAGCACACCTCTAAAAAAAGCTACGTAACTGAGTTTAAAAAACAAATATTCAAAATTAGACTTTGGAAATGAACTTTGGTTAATTTGGTTATATATGTATATTAATTAAGACGTAGCAGAAATTATGACTTACGCCGTAACAAAACCGTAACAGCTTCCGCAGTACTTTTTCTTATCAATTCTTTCGATTGAAGTCATTAATATTTGCAAATATGCACTATTTAATCATCGTATTGACTATTCTACGTACAAATTATTTGTCATTATCATATCAATTGTGCTTAAACAAAACATTATATAATATTAATGTTGGCAAATGGTCTTTTTTTTTTGCGCAAAATGATGCAATGAAGCATTTTTCATATAAAAATGTGTTTATATATATAAATTATTTGTAATTATTAAATATATATTAGGTTGAAATGTCAAATATATCGATATAATTATAAAAATTAGTAACAATAATATTAAAAATACCCAATGGAATAATAAGCAATAGATTATTACGTATTAGAGCGGGCGAATTCCCAATACAGCAGTAGAGTACACAAATATATAGGGATGTTATCCTGTTCCAACTGGTTAACTTATACTTAAAAACTCATTG